TTTGAAGTAGTCTATTGGTCAGTCAGCTACTAGAACAATGACACCTGCCTGTTTCCTAGGTCTCTTTACTGGAATATGTTTCCCATTCTCTGACCCCGTGGTAGTATGTCTGTGTTTTATGGTAAGGTGAAATTCTTGGTGGCAACAAATAGATGATTCTTGATTCAATCTGCTAGTCAGTCTTTTGATTGGGGGAAATGGAGACTGTTTGCATTCAGAGCTATTACAGGAAGGTATGAGTGATTCCTGCCATTTTGTTGAGTTTATAGTGTTTAGTTCTTCCCCTTTTCCCCCTCTCTTGCTTAACTATTATTCTTGTATGGTTTATTCTTTCCTGTGTCCTCACGGATTGATTTAGTTTTCTCTTTAGTCTGAAGGATTTCTTTTGTAGAGCTTGCTTAGTGGTCATAAATTCCTTTAGTTTTATTTTTATCATGGGAAGTTTCATTTTTTCCTTCAATTATGACAGATAGCTTTGCTGGATATAGTATTCTGGGTTGGTGGCTATTATCTATAAGAGCTTGAAATACATCATTCTAAACCCTTCTGCCTTTTAAATTTTCACTTGAATAATAATTCTATCTTATTCTAATAGGCCTGCCTTTATATGTGACTTGATGTTTCTCTCTTGCCACTTTCAATACGCATTCTTTGATCTGCATCTTTAGTGTTTTGATTATAATATAATGATGGAGATTCTCTTCTGGTCTTGTCTGTTCAGTGTCCTAAACACCTCCTGTCTCTGGATTGGCATCTCTTTTCCTAACTCTGGGAAGTTTTCTGTTATGATTCTTTTGGGGGGGGTCTTTTTGAGTCAGGGTCTCCCTGTAGCCCCAGCTGGCCTAGAACTCACTATGTAGACCAGGCTAGCCTTGAACTCACAGAGATCCGCCTGTCTCTGCCTCCTGAGTGCTGAGATTAAAGGTGTGTGCCACTGTTATGATTCTTTTTAAAACAAGTTTTTTATGTGTATGGGTTTTGCCTGCATACATATAAGTGCACTCCTGTCATGCAACACATGAGGCCAGAAGAGGGTGTCAGATCCCCTTGAACTGGAATTATGAATAGTTGTTAGACAGGTGGGTGCTGGGAACTGAACCTGGTTCTCCTCAAGAGCAGCCAGTGCTCTTAACCACTGAGGCATCTCTCCAGTTCCTGTTATGATTATTTTGAAAATGTTTTCTAAGCCTTTAGTACTGGATTCTTCTTGTTCTTTTATGGCCCATAGATTTAGTCTTTTCAGCATGTCGTGAATATCTTGGAATTCCCACTGGTAGTTCCTTATTATTTTTTCATTTTCCTTTTTGGATGGTTCCAGTTCTTCCACATTGTCTTTGAGCTCAGTCATCTTGGTTCATTCTATTGCTGAAACTTTCCACAGAGCTTTTTGTTTGACTTAGTATGTTGCTGGACTTGAACTCACAGAGATCTGCTTGCTTCTGCCTCCTGATGCTGGGATTTAAGGGTTTTGCCACCATGCCTGGCTCATCTTATTTATTCAGCAGTTTGTGTCTTTGATCATACTTATATTTATTATTTTGTGTTCTCTGGGATGTCATCTAACTCACTTTTTCTAGATGTCATTCTGCAGGGTTAATAATTTTTGAAGAAATTTGTCTTGGATTTTCATGTTTCTTACATTACTGTGTTGGAATTTATGTACCTGGTGGTATTTTGTTGCTTGGTTTATTTTTCAGTTTTTATTTTTTGGCCTTTTTGAGACAGGGTCTCTCTCTAGTCCCAGCCAGCTTGTAACTTGTTATGTAGACCAGGCTGGCCTTGAACTCACAGAGTTCCATCTATCTCTGCCTCCTGAGTGCTGGGACTAAGGTGTGCACCACCATGCCTGGCTTTTGGTTTATTATTATTATTATTTTTTTTAATTAAATTTTTTTTGCTTTTTTTTTTTTTTTTTGAGATGGGGTCTCTCTGTAGCTCCAGCTGACCTGGAACTCACTATGTAGACCAGGCAGGCCTTTGAACTCACAAAGATCTGCCTGCCTCTACCTCCTGAGTGCTAGCACTAAAGGCATAGGCCACCATGCCGGGCTTGGTTTATTTTTTAATCAGTTATATTCTTTTAATTGAAGTACTTGCAGTTTTCAAGTGGGACTGAGAGGTTGTAAAGTTGATTATATAAGTCGGGCATGGTGGCACATGCCTTTAGTCCCAGCACTTGGGAGGCAGAGGCAGGCGGATTTCTGTGAGTTCGGGGCCAGCCTGGTCTCCATAGTGAATCCAGGCCAGCTTGGGCTACAGGGAGACCCAGTCTCAAAAAGACCAAAAAAAAAAAAAAAGTTGATTATGTAGTTCCAAGAATTTTCTGGGAGCTAGGCACAGTTAATTCCAGCACTTGAGAGGCAGAGGCAGGTGGATCTCTGTGAGATCAAGGCTAACCTGCTCTACATAGCCAGTTTCAGGCCAGCTGGGGCTACGAGGAGACCTTGTCTCAAAAAAACCAAAATAAATAACAAATAAATAAACCAAACAACAACAACAAAAACTCAAAACAATAAAAAAAAAAAAACAGAACCCCCAAACCAAAACAAAGAAAACAAAACATTCCTGGAGCTGGAGCGATGGCTCAGCAGTTAAGAGCACTGACTGCTCTTCCAGAGGACCCGGGTTTGGTTGTCAGCACCCACATGGAGGTTAAAACCTGTCCTTGAGTCAGTATTAGAGGGTCCACCACACTTTTCTGGCCTCTTTGGGCACCATTGTGGTGCACTTCCATACATTCTGGCAAAACACTCATACACATAAAATAAAAACAAATGAAATCTTAAAAAAGGAAAAAAGTAAAAAAAATTCCAAAGTCCAGGAGCTCAGGGTACCAGATGTAACTCTATTATTCCTTGAGTAGAGTATTAACTTTGAGAGTAACTACAGCTGTTGGATATTACCACTGTGTAAATATAATAGACAACAACAGTGGGCCTTTGACTTCAATAACTGTTTGAATTATCCAGGGACAGTATAGATTATTCCTGGAATTTAGTTAATACGATTAGGAATAACGGAGAAGTAGGGTGGGTAAGGATAAGGAGAAGTATTAGTTTGACTTTGAGAAGAAGAATAAATCAAGATGGGTAAAGTAGCTAGGAGGGGAAATTTGAGGTATTTGATAAAAGAAAGAAGAAAAGATGTAGGAATTGGAGGGGCAGTATATGAGAGGTGGGTGAAGTGTAGTAAAGAATGTCTTATACTGTGTGGAGAAACATAAACAACAGTCCTAAAACCTAACACAATATACAGACAAAAGCAAAATCATCATGACACATGTATGCAAGAGTAGAAATTAAATAATAGAAAATCAGAAATAAAAAGAATACTTAGTGAGTTTCTGGCACAGCTGTACCGAATTGAAAGGTGACGTTCTCACATCCCCTTTCTAGCAGGCTCCACTGAAAACCTCTTAATACTCTCCAACTCAGCTCCTCGTTTGCTGCTCCTGAAATTATTTTTTTGTGGCAAAGTGAAGAATTCAGGCTTCTCTGAAAAGAATTTAGGGTGATGAAGGTGGTAGTGTGGAGCTGTGTCTCTGGCCCACTGCTAAATAAAAAATATTTTAAAAAACTAGGTCCCAGGATGTGGGGCTTCTTTGTCTTCTTGTGTCCCCTTAATTTTCATGGTCATTATATCCTGATTCAGTTCTCTTCACAGTCAAGGGTGTGTCTTCCTTCCTCAGCTAGACACAACCTCTTTGGTGCCCTAGGTATTTCTTTTTCTTTTTTCTTTTCTTTTCTTTCTTTTTTTTTTTTTTTGGTCTTTTTGAGACAGGGTCTCCCTGTAGCCCTAGCTGTCCTGGAACTCACTATGTAGACCAGGCTGGCCTTGAACTCACAGAGATCCACCTGCCTCTGCCTCCCTAGTGCTGGGGTTAAAGGCATGCGCCACCACACCCGGCTTTTCTTAAAAAAACATTTTAGTTATTATTTTTATGTGTATGCATGTATTGCCTGCATGTAGGTAAGTACACCCGTGTCGTGCAATGCCTGCTGAGGACAGAAGAGGCCATCGGATCCCCTGGGACTGGAGATACGGACAGTTGTTAGCTGCCATGTGGGTGCTGGTGTTTGAACCTGGGTCCTCTGCAAGAACAGTCAGTGTTCTTAACCGCCATCTCTCCAGCTCCATCCCTAGGTATTTCCTAATCCAATTAAGCTCACAGTTGAAATTAACCATCACAGTCTCACTAGGTAGACCAGGCTGGCTTCAAACTCACGGCAATCCTCCTACCTCAATCTCCTGAGTGTGGGGTTACAGCCATGAGTCACCAATCTTGGCTTCAAAATAAAAAGTAGTTTTATTGAGTTGCTGTGGTGGTGTACACTTGTGATCCCAGCACTCAGGAAGTTGAAGTAGCGGATCCATGTGGGAGGCCAGTCAGGGTTACATAGTGAAACCCTATCTCGCAACAAAGTGTCCATTGACTGTAGAGTGCTTCAGCAACATAAAACGCTGAAGCATCCTACCAGAAAGCGAATAGCAGTGTTACTGCTTAGACTTCCGGATCCAGCTGGACGCTCTGCCCTCCTTGGTAAACGATCACATCTAAGCATGTTGGAATATAAATAAAGAGGCAAATTACATTACTACGGTGTACGATCAATATGGGGAAGTGGGAGAGGGATAGCTTGGGCCATTCAAATGCTCATATTCAAAGGGGCCTCAAAAACTGCAGTCCAGAGCAGGAGCTTTGGGGAGTGCTCAGCAGTATGTGGTCAGTTTTAGCTCTTTTGGGGGATAAAACCTTGAGGAGAGGGGATGACCAGAAGTCAGAAACGCGCTTTGTAGAACCTGGCCAGCTTTAGACCCACCGCAGCACTTCCCAATCCTCGCAGTGTGGACAGGGCCCTCAGGGCCGCAGGTGGAGCGCTCACTGGGCGGGGTCTCCGAGCCACCCCCGGGGATTTTCCCTCTAGCCACGCCCCTCCGCAGGATGCGTGGGCGGGGCTACCGGCGGAAGGGCAAGGAAGGAGGTGACGCGGTTAGCGGGCGCCGGTGTCGCGCAGCGGCTCGGAGGAAGCTCGGCAGCAGTGGCGGTGGCGGCGGGGAGCAGGCCGGACCCCTGGTTGCTGGCCCGGCTTCCCGGGCGTCGGCGAAGGCGAAGCCGCTCTCCGGCTCGCCGCAGCGTTCGGCTGGCGGCGTCCTGGTGCCGGGAGCGAGGAACGTAGGTAAGCCGGAGCCGGGCGGCCCTGAAGGGTGACGGGCGCAGCGCTCACTGACCGGCCCTTCCCCCGCCAGCTCAGCGCTGCGCGAGGCCGAGCGCTCCCTCCCCCACGGCGGTCGGCCGCACGTCTCCGGGAACCGCTGCCTGCCTCGCTCTCCTGCCCAAGCCGGGCGACTCCGACCGCGAGCAGACCGGCGCCCCCGGCCGCCTGGAGAGCAGGACCTCCAGAGGCCCCGGCTCCTGCTGTTTTGGAAGTCCAGGGACTTTATTGGATCCCATAACTACCTGCAGCCTGCTTTGGTGCCTTCCCACCATGCTCTTGCGTGATACTTTGGGACGATACGATGGTGGGAGGCCACCGTTTTTATTTCTATCTGTGCTAGACAGTATTAACCCCGGTTCCTCTGTGTGGCCACTCTGTTGGACGAGGTGGCGTGCGGAGAGGTCGTGGGCGTTTGGACTTAAGAATGCGGGAAGCTAAGTTGAAGCCCTGACTTTTACCATTTGGTATTTAATTCATCGCCTGTGCAGAGGTGTTTTCTGATACCTTTATGGATTAGTTCGAAGAATTGATAAAATGTTTGGGAGACTCTTATTAAAGCTCTGTCGCCTTTAGTCCCAGCACTTGGGTGGCAGAGACAGGTGGATCTCTGTGAGATCGAGGCCAGCCTGGCCTACTTAGGAGACCCTGTATCAAAAAGACCAGGGTAAAAAAAGATTCACATGGTGTGAAGAGATGCCAGGGTCTTGTGGTCAGAACTTAACTGCAATCTCTACTTTTTCCAAGTGTGCGACATCCAAGAAACCTAGTTACCCATATGTCTGTGCTTATTGATAGAACATGGATAGCTTAAAATCAGTTTGCTGATTATTTAAGATAGCATTTGTGCATCGGCTTGTTAGAACACCTACCTGAGAGGTGCTTAATTTACATCTTGGCCCAGTTCAAAGGATTTCCTTATTCTGATAAAACATTTCATGCCTACTGGAAATGTGCAAGAAAAATATAGCTGTGCTGGCTTGCAGTCACAGTTGTGTGGACTAGGCTGGCCTTGAACTTGTAGTGACTCTCCAGTCTCAGCCTCCCAAGTGTTGGGATTACAAGCCTAGCGTCCTGTTGTTGCTCTTTTTCTTTTGCTGCTGCTGCTGCTGCTGCTTTTACTATTAGTCCTCTTTGTCAGTGTTGGGAATTGAACCCAAGCATATACTAGAAACTAGCACTCTACCACTGAGACTGAACCTGCTTACCCAATCCCTAGTTTCTGTGTCTTATTGATTTTTCTGAGAAGGGCAGGCATTTAGGAGATGTGTGTGTGTGTGTGTGTGTGTGTGTGTGTGTGTGTGTGCGCATGCATTTTGATTACCTGTCTGAAAACCTTTGTTTTTGTTTTTTTGAGATAGGGTCTCACGGTAGCCCTTGCTGGCCTAAGTAGACCAGACTGGTCTTGAACTCACAAATTCTCCTTCTGGATTAAAGGCATGTCCTATCACCCTCTCTTTTTTCTGTTTTCAATCTTGAGTTATTGGTTGAGTCTAAAATTCTTTGTTAAAAATAATTTTTCCTCAGAACTTTGAAGATGTGTGTCTCCATGGTTTTCTGGTTTCCAGTTTTGCTTCTCTCTCTCTCTCTCTCTCTCTCTCTCTCTCTCTCTCTCTCTCTCTCTCTCTGTGTGTGTGTGTGTGTGTGTGTGTGTGAGAGAGAGAGAGAGAGAATAGTTGTGTGTGGGCACCTGTGGAGGTTAAGATGTCTTCCTGAATTGCTTCTTCACCTTCCTTTTTGAGATGAACCTGGAACTCACTGATTCAGTTAGGCTGGTTGGCCAGCAACCCAAGGGGATCTATCCTCACCCCCAGCACTGGGGTTACAGGAACTTATTGCCATGCCCAGCTTTTATGTTGGTGCTGGGGATCCAAACTTAGGTCTTCATGTATGAATGACAAGCACTTTCCCCGTTGAGCCTTCTCCTAGCCCCTTTCTCCGTTTTTTGGTCTAGAGTCTGACCGTGTAATTGAGGCTGACCTGGAGCTTGTGGAGCCTCCTTATTTGGACTATAGGAGTGCAAACACCTGGCTGCTCAGTTACTCAGAGAAGTTGCAGATCTTTTTTATTTCTGTCATTCCTTCTGTATTTGTTAATCTGAAATTCTGTATAAGGAAGAGATGTCCCTTTTACCTATTTTGTCAGTTTAAAAAATTTTTTTTTAAAAATTTTATGTGTATGCGTGTATTGCCTGCATGTAGGTAAGTGCACCTGTGTCGTGCAATGCCAGAGGAGGACAGAAGAGACTGTCAGATCCCCTGGAACTGGAGTTACAGACAGTTGTTAGCTGCCATGTGGGTGCTGGGATTCGAAACCGGGTCTTCTACAAGAACAGTGTTCTTAACCGCTGAGCCATCTCTCCAGCCCCTATTTTGTCAGTTTTTAAGATCACTATAAACTCAAGGGTATTCATTTAATTCTTGGGTTCTGACCCATTACTATTATGTATTTGATTGTTCAACATGACCACTGTA